CCCCCCCCCCCCCCCCTCTAAAAAAGCCAGTTTTGTTAAGTCAACTAATTTGCAGTTGGGTCTTTGGTGATTTTTGGAGACACTGAAGTGTCTATTAGTTGTCTTGGGTACAGAGGAGCTATGATGAATTATGTTTTTAATTCAAATAACCTAATGGATAGGCAGTGTACAGTCTCATCTTTTGTCCTTATTACCCCAAGGAGTCCACTAACAAGCAAGAACAGTCAGTACAAATTAACACTGAGAACAGCACAAACTGTTGGAACATGGAATACAGACACAAAGATGTTCAGATACAACACCTTGTAAACTGCTATACACAAAGGTTTACATTCATTTAATTAATGTTTCATCCAAAATCAGTAAGATGGTAGTTTTATGCAGAAAGCATGACGATAAACTTGACCTTTCTTAGATGGTTAAAAGGAATAATTCTCATTGTGAATTCTCATTTTTGGATGAACTACTTAAATAATGAATAATAATAATCCACTCAAAAATGAAAATTTGCTGAAAATCTACTTACCCTCAGGCCACCCAAAATGTAAAAGAGTTTGTTTTTTCATCAGAACAGATTTGGAGAAATTTAGCATCACATCACTTGCTCACCAAGTGATCCTCTGCAGTGAATGGGTGCCGTCAGAATGAGAGTCCAAACAGCTGATAAAAACATCACAATAATCCACAAGTAATCCACACGATTCCAGTCCATCAGTTAACGTCTTGTGAAGTGAAAAGCTGTGTTTGTAAGAAACAAATCCATCAAAGCATTCTAAATTTAAACAGTCGCTCCAATGAAATAAAATATATAATTATTGTTATGTTTTTATCAGCTGTTTGGACTCTCATTCTGACGGCATCCATTCACTGCAGAGGATCCACTGGTGAGCAAGTGATATAATGCAAAATTTCTCCAAATCTGTTCCGATGAAGAAACAAACTCATCTACATCTTGAAAGAAATTAATCTTGATTTTTGGATGAACTATTCCTTTAAGCCCTGTTTGTTGGTCCGTCAGAGCTCCATTCAGAGATTGCTCCATGCCAATTCTCCTCACTGGCGCAGATGGTGCAAATCTGAATTCGGAAAGGTCAGCCTGGTAGTTTCTCACTGACACATAGTGGAGAAAGCCCCATCAGCTCGGCAAACTCGTGACCCTGATCCTGCCAAGCACAACGCGCCCTCTGAGCCCTGCCTTATGTCATATACGCGTATGAATAGAGCCGCTTGTAGTATAAACCATCGGGCTGAGATGAGCGTGACATGCGATATGCTGTTATTTTTACATACGTATGTCTGTACACCTTGTGTATGCATTCATGTATCTCAGTGTGCTCCCATGTGCCCGAGCAGACACACACACACATGCGCACGCTCTCCTCCAGACACACAAAGACCCCCCGGGGCGGCCCGCTCTCCTGGTTTCGGTCCGGTGAGGGACGTGTGTGTCAGCAGGAGATGGAGGGTAGAAGAGGGTTTAAGAGGGTAATGGCAAACCAAAGTCAGTCATTCACCCACACATTCACCATCCACCCGCTGCTCTCTCCAGCATGCCCGCTCAGTCCCAGCCGTTGTCCTTGATCATGTGGGCGAGCTCGATAATGAACTTGCCTTCCTTGTACTTCTGACTGCTCTCAAAGGCATGTTCCTGGGGGCAGGAGGAAAGCGAGAAACGATATTGACTGAAAGACAAACTTGGATGTGAAACTTGTCATCATTTATAGGTCAGTAATATACTGTACATGATAAGAAAATATATTTAAAAAATAATTTTAATTTCATATAGTTAAGATTTTTTTCCGACGCCATTTTCAAGAAAAGTTACAATTTAATTACTCTAAAAATGTCATGTGGTGTAACCATCAAATAAAAGTAATAACAATATTTTCATTCCACCATACATTTGAGCGTATACATGTTAACCATTATTTTCAAAAAAGGTTTTTAAAATATATTTTTCAAGGCAAATTTTTCAAATATCATGAATTATTAAATTAAAATATTATTATGTTTTATGGAGAGTCGCAGCACATGATATTTTTACAACCTAAACTTGCCTTGCCCTATCATAAAAAGGTCAAATTATGTCAAGTATGTCTGTAGGTGTTATATATGTTATTTGGTAACACTTTACAATAAGGTTCCATTTGTTAACTATATTTAATGCATTAAATAACATTAACAATGAACAATATATCTGTTGCAATATTTATTAATCTTTGTTCATGTTAGTTAATAAAAACACAACTGTTCATTGTTAGTTCATGTTAGCTCAGGTCCATTAAATAACATTAACAGATATGATTTCTTATTTTAATTATGTATGAGTAAATGTTGAAATCAACATTAACTACAATTAATAAATACTTTAGAAGTTTATTTATGTTAACTAATGTAGTTAAGTAATGTGGAACCTTATTGTAAAGAGTTACCTTTTATTTTTTCCTGCATGTTGGTTGGGCCACGATTTTAATAAAAACCATTTTTACAAGAAATAATAACATATAATGAGGACAGTTTTATCTCAGACATCTATGACATTAATCCCCATCACCAAAATATAAAAATTTTAATTCAGAAAAAAACAACAAAAAAACATGCTTATCATAGAAGCGGTGTATTCAAGTCATGTATTTATAAATTGCATTTTAATGTATTTTTGAATAAATTAATAGGTAGGACAAACAAGTTTCACTAATGCATTTAAGATCCTGTTTGTCTTTTCTTTTTATAGCTGATGGATGCAGGCAGCAGGGAGCACTCATCAGATTTCTGGAGAAGGGCACTGGGTCAAACTTCCCTGCTACTCTGAAACGTCTGCATTCATACTGACACAAATATCTGATGTGCTTATAAATAACCAGGCCACTATGGGAACCTATACTTGTTTGTGTGCTTATTGGTGTTTGCATCGGTCAAGACTCCATGTCAAGGGCGACCAGAAATCCACTAGTACTGAAAAAACAATTGGCATGCGGCACAGCTGCTGATTAAAAATGGACGCCATGCAAGGAATGTGTCCTCCTAAGACAAGCCTTTATGAGCAAGCTTTAACTCGCAAAGCCGTGCATATTAACATCGTGCTATTATCTCAAAGTGTCTGTGACTTGCTCGGTAAATGCAAGCACATTCAGTTTCTTCAGGTAAATAAGGCTCCAAGTAGGTCATTTGTTAAGCACAGGTCTTGTTAGTGTCTATGGAAAACCTGAAAGGATAGTTCACCCAAAAATGAAAATTCTGTCTTCATTTACTCATTCTCATCTATGTATGACTTTCTTTCTTCAGTGGGGTCCAACATTTTTGGACCCCAATGACTTCATTATATGGACAAACACAGTTAAAATATTATTCAAAACATCTTCTTTTGTTCTCCACCAAAGTCAATTTATTTTCATTTTTGGGTGAATTAATGTCCAATAATGTAAGCTACAGCATCTTACCAAAACAGTCATAATTTAGTTGTACATCACCATCTTCCACCGCCTCTCTGATCATGACTTTGTTTTTGCTACCGTACCTTTAAGACTACTCTATGTAAATGACCTGTGCTATGATGTGAAGTCACTTTTATCTACATGTACTCGAACTTTCCATGTGTTGTGAGTGTTTTCTTACATATTTCCACCCCAGTGTGGTTTTGCAGTTTTCGCAGTAGATGTCTGCCACTGCATGAAGGCCCGTGAGCAGAACCCTCTCTTCTGCAGGGCCACATCCTACGTTCACCCTGACGAAACCAGTTAGAAACAGTCACGCACAGCAAGCTACAATTAGGTATAAGGTTCGTGGAAGCGCAGTAGACATGAACAGAGTTTATACACTAAGATTCAAAAGCTTAGGGTCAGGAGTTTTTTTTTTTTAAAGAAATTAATACGTTTATTCCATTAAATTGATTAAGACTTACATTGCCACAAAGTTTGCATCGGTCAAGACTCCATGTCAAGGGCGACCAGAAATCCACTAGTACTGAAAAAACAATTGGCATGCGGCACAGCTGCTGATTAAAAATGGACGCCATGCAAGGAATGTGTCCTCCTAAGACAAGCCTTTATGAGCAAGCTTTAACTCGCAAAGCCGTGCATATTAACATCGTGCTATTATCTCAAAGTGTCTGTGACTTGCTCGGTAAATGCAAGCACATTCAGTTTCTTCAGGTAAATAAGGCTCCAAGTAGGTCATTTGTTAAGCACAGGTCTTGTTAGTGTCTATGGAAAACCTGAAAGGATAGTTCACCCAAAAATGAAAATTCTGTCTTCATTTACTCATTCTCATCTATGTATGACTTTCTTTCTTCAGTGGGGTCCAACATTTTTGGACCCCAATGACTTCATTATATGGACAAACACAGTTAAAATATTATTCAAAACATCTTCTTTTGTTCTCCACCAAAGTCAATTTATTTTCATTTTTGGGTGAATTAATGTCCAATAATGTAAGCTACAGCATCTTACCAAAACAGTCATAATTTAGTTGTACATCACCATCTTCCACCGCCTCTCTGATCATGACTTTGTTTTTGCTACCGTACCTTTAAGACTACTCTATGTAAATGACCTGTGCTATGATGTGAAGTCACTTTTATCTACATGTACTCGAACTTTCCATGTGTTGTGAGTGTTTTCTTACATATTTCCACCCCAGTGTGGTTTTGCAGTTTTCGCAGTAGATGTCTGCCACTGCATGAAGGCCCGTGAGCAGAACCCTCTCTTCTGCAGGGCCACATCCTACGTTCACCCTGACGAAACCAGTTAGAAACAGTCACGCACAGCAAGCTACAATTAGGTATAAGGTTCGTGGAAGCGCAGTAGACATGAACAGAGTTTATACACTAAGATTCAAAAGCTTAGGGTCAGGAGTTTTTTTTTTTTAAAGAAATTAATACGTTTATTCCATTAAATTGATTAAGACTTACATTGCCACAAAATATTAGAATGATTTCTGAAGGCTCATGTGACACTGAAGACTGGAGTAATGTTTGCCATCAAAGGAATACATTACATTTTAAAATATATTCAAATAGAAAACAGTTATTTTACATTTTAATAATATTTCACAATATTACCATTTTCTCTGTATTTTTAATCAGATAAATGCAGCTTTGGTGAGCATAAGAGACTTCTTTCAAAAACACGACCCCAAAATTTTGAATAGTAGTGTGTATAACATACCACTTCCATATCAAACTCCTTCTAATACCAGAAATGTACAATCAAATACCTGTATAAAATCAACTTACACAGAGTTGAACAGATATGCTCTGCCCTGACTTCCTTGAAAGGACTAAAAGAAAGAAAAAAAAACGCATTCCTTAGAGAATTGCATTTAATATCACATTCAAATGTTAATCTGAAACCTCAGTATCTGTACTAAAGAGCAGCTTTTCACCCGAGCAGAACTGATGTGACATTAAACAGCATGTGTTGATCTTCTGATCTATGAGCTTCATATGCTTAACAAGCATGTTTGTTCGTGTCCTGTTCCTGCACATGTTGCCAGGTCATTAATTCTCGGCTCATTAATTACCTTGGAGATGAGCTCGTCATGGTTGGCGAGGTGTGCTCTGCAGTGGATACAGCTGTAGGTACGGTGGCAGCTGGGCAGGTACGCCTGGAAAGTTTTGGAGCGCGTCATGGTGACCATGGGCCGGGTTGATTAATATAAATATTAAAAAAACAAAAGCTAATAAAAACAACAACAGCACATAACAAACACACAAAAAATATGAAAATAAAAGCTAATTATTCAAAACATTAATGAATGCTATAGTAGTATATAAATAATACTGCTTAATTGTGTGGCTTGCTCAATGAAGGTGTGCTATTACTTTTTTAATAAAAGAGATATAGATATAGAATAATATTTAATATAGATATCTAGATTCTTTGGTGTGGGCTCTTTACACCCACAACACCCTAACATCATGGTGGCCATTTCTGCATGATCAAACCCTCTTTCCATTTTGTTCAATAGTTGTGCCGATATTGCACACTTCACCTTTAAGAATATCCAGTGGTTAGAAAGTGTGTTTGCATGCACCAGTCTGATGCTTTATTGTCATGTTACTCCTTCAGTCAGAGGGCTTTGTTGAGGCAGGGGTGAGCCTATCTTAAGAGTCCAGAGCAAAAAGCAGCTCTTATGTTCTGTCCATTGTTTCCCCGCCAAAGCGTGGGGTTGGAGAATAAAGAGTCTACTGACAGATCGAAGCACTTTCCCACACAAACACACAACCGTCTGCTGAGGCAAACACACACCCGTACTGCGACACGTCCACAAATAAACCCTCTAGCATTCTGGTGACCCTCTCTCGCCCCAGTTCCACACCCTGACCTGTGCGGGTATTTTAGGACCCCGCGAGTTTGTTCAGGACACGATGCTGAAAGACCCCGTGGTGTTTCCTTACAGTTTACTGCAAACCAAACGATGCATTTTGTGACACTGGTATGATAACTACATAATAGATGAGATAATGGATTTCTCTTTCTCTCACAGAAGCTTTGGGAGAGACTAAGTGGCTTTTATTTGTTCAAAGTTAATACTGGTTCCATCTCAATATTATATTTAAACTGAAATGTAAGCTATTTTGTATGAAAAAGTGTTGTGTGTGTGCAGTTGGATGGGATAAATGCAGAGCACAAATTCCAAGTATGGGACACAATCCTTGGCTACATGTCACATCTTTTTCACTTATTTTATTCACACAGCTGCTAACTGAATCCAGGCACTGTATTGTCATAACAGACAGATCGATAAAAGCGAAGGGAGAGAGTCTCGGTATGGTTTCCTCATGCAGACAAAAACACATCAGATGAGCTCTGATCCGTGAACGCTGATGAAGCTTCAGGCACGACCAATTCAAATACTGATCACTGAAGCAACACTTAAACTGTGGTACAGATCACAAAGCTGGACACAAGCTAGATGGAAAGCAGCACATCTTATAAGATGCTTTATAGTAATTTTATCAAGTGTATAGGTATAGTTCACACTAAAATGGAAATGCTATCATCATTTATTCCTCCTCATGTTGTTCGAAACCTGTATGACTTTATTTATTCTGTGGAGCATTAAAGAAGATATTTTGAAGTTAAATCACTTCCACAGAATAAAGAAAGTCATACAGGTTTATAACTATTATTTAAACTAAGATGAGGGCAAAAGATTCAATAGGATTGTTCTGAGTGTTTTTTTTAGGTCTGCAATGCTCAACATACTGTAGTACTAACACTACTAAGAACATAAATACCAGCATTAAAGGAATAATTCACCTATAAATGAAAAGAAAGGGTCAGGGTCAAACTAGCTCTTAAGTCACAAGCTGCGTCCAAAGTAACATGTTGCCTAGAAGGTACTACATTTGGTTTAAAACTTACTTCACTACCATTTAAAAAACCACATTCTATATAGTATGAATGAAATCCAGATAAACATTATCCGCCATGTCATCACTTGTCACATGACTTACCAGCTACTATTCACAACTCCTCTCCTGTGGCCTCATGGGATAGTAAAGTGTCCATCGAATGCATACTACTTTTCGCCTACTGTTTTTCGAAAACTTTGAATGAATTTGGACAAACTCATTTCACTCTTTTCGCATACTATATAGTATAGAAGTAGGCATATTTAGATGCAGCAACAGTCTTAACATAATGGCAAAAAAAAAGACAAAAAGCACCATTAAAATATAGTCCCAATAACGTGTGCTATATTCCAAGTCTTCTGAAGCCATACTCTTTGTTTTATGGAAAGAGTTGCATGAGGATGTTTACTTCTGCATTCCATGGAAAAAATACCAGCATTTATGTCTCTTTTTTGGGGGGGGGGGGGAACAGTACCTTTAATTTTGTTAATTTGCCCCTTACTGTCTCCTGCTAAGTGCTCTGATGCATGTGTTGTGACAGAGGGGCTGTAGCACTCATCACTTTGAGGCCTGTGCAACATAAGGGCCTTCTTTATGCAACCGAAACAGCACTGATGGGGATAACAGCAGCTATAGAAAAGAGGGGAAAATGTGTGTCCTTGTGCGGCATCCCATCCTTCACTGGCTGTCCACCCTCTAGCGTCTTATTTAACAGTCTTTTTTGTGATGCATTAACTGTAATTACTTTGAGTCAGGATTTCTAATCTGCATCTCTGAGATGATTTTTGCAACCTCCTCCCCACAACTATACTTTTATAATTTTGGGAAATGGTGTAATACGATGTTACGTCATAGCAAAATGATTAAACATCCCTTATAATTTCCTGAGTGGGTCATGAAAATTAAAATGTTCTGCTTTTTGTGATTATCCATGTCTGAGGGCTTGTATTTGCATTCATAAATGCAGTTTATTATGCATGGAGTGTCGCAGTATAGTACAGTAGCTCAAGACCATGCAGGAAATACTTTTGAAAAACGTAATCTCTGCAGACCGGATTGAATTTGACAGCGTTTCAGAAATTACTCGTCAGCATTTAAGCTCTCCGAATTCGATGGTGTATGAGTGAAAGAGCTTGTTGAATATAAAACAGTTATCAATTCTTATTATTGTTTTATGTAATAACTCACTGTTTGAGTGCTGTGCTGTACTAAACCTCATGTACTGCCAGCAGACAGTATGTGGGACTGGATTTCAGCCACACTGCACTACTGGCACTGTTTCCTCATGGCAGGCCAAGCATGCTTTCAAATTTGACCTCTGAGAACAGAACCATAAACAGCATTTTAAATGAATTTTTTGAGCCAATTACAACATACTACAGCAGATCAACACTAAAAATAACTCAGCCTACTACACAATGCTGCAGTATAACTGTCATCAAGTACTATTAATTCCAACCCATCAATGCTGTCTAGTTAGGGATCTTACTAGGTTTTGAAACAGACAATATAATATAAGTCCTTTATAGCCAAAAAGTCCATAAAAAGTGTCAAATCTGTGTGGTCATGAAGTGTAATGTTATAGTGGTGTGGGTCAGTTATACTAAATATTCTATTAAATGTCCTTTTATTTTTCGGAATATTAGATAACATTCGATCAAAAAATTCTAAATATCAAATCTTTTTTGGGTTATGCTATTCTATCAAATAATCAATTCTGTTTATACTGAAAATGCTATTGAAATTTGATTTAAAAATGTTCTACATATCTCAAATGTGTGCATAAAAATTGTATTCAGTTGTAGTAAATAATATGAGATAACATTCAATCAAAAAATTCTAAATATCAAATATTTTTTGGGTTATGCTGTTCTATCAAATAATCAATTCTGTTTATACTGAATATTCTATTGAAATTTGATTTTAAAAATGCTTTACGTGAATATATAAAATTTGTGCATAAAAATTGTATTCAGTTCTATTAAATGATACATCTTATTTATGCTGAATATTCTATCCCATTTTATTACATATTCTCATATTCATATTCTAAATATAGTATACTCCACGAAATATTCTAAGTATTGAATGTTGATAATAAATTAATAATGACATTCTGTAAAATATTCTATATATATATGAGGTCTGTAATCAAATCCAATACTGCAATGTTTATCTCAGACATGACGCAGACTGGATAAAGTGCATAATGCTGCTCTAAATGCAGAAATATCTTAATTTATGACTGATAACACTTACATGTCATGCAAACAGAACGATTAAGGAGCTCACTGTCAGAAATGATCCATGTTTTTATAAGCTTTTTAAGCAACATCTTGAAGTTCTTCAACACTAAACTCATTAGGAAATAGCAAGAAGGCATATATAATCGATGGCAAGTAATTAAATGTAAGGTTGAAGACGATTTCATGTTCCATACATTATTTATATTATGTTATGTCGTAGTATAGCCGATGTGTATAATGATATACGTTCATAAACAGTGCTTATATTTCATACAGGTCTGATTGGTTAGAGCAGTAATCTTCACTATTTTTTTCATGAGAGCAGCACTTTTAATAGGAGAGCCACTTTTACTGCAAAGTATCAAAAGTTGCATCCAGTCATAAATAGTCTGCTTCTCAATCTGTCATCCCTGAACATACAATATGCAATGCAATACTAAGGGGTTTATTTTTTAAAGTTATTTAAAGTTATTTATTGAAATAAATAATATTTGCTTCTACATTAGCCCATCGTGTATCAAACCATCCAAGAGCACATTCGGCGTTAAGAGCTGGAAAGATTGCCAAAACAACTCATGCGGGCAGAGCAAGTTTAAATATCTTTCTAGTCTATTTTTCCATCTTGTAATTCCGCTGTTTTGGGTATTTTTAAATATAAATTATTTGTAATAGAGCAGACACTGACTGTTGTTCGTGTAGCCTATTTATGTTCCCATTTAGCGAGACAGCAGACACTGAAAACACTGCGGGCTTCACTAGGCTATGTGTGTAGTAAACGAAACCGTGCTTCTGTGCCATTCATTCATAAAGAGACACGCAGGATTCTTTAAATGGTATTTTTGCTGCTTAATATTTACAGATACCAGTCAATATTGCAATTTGATTTAAGTATAATGTACGGTGGCCGAGAAGTGCAAAGCAAATCACAATTCTGAAGACAAAATAACAAATTACAAACGCAAATGCAAGTCTAAAAAACAAAATAACAATTCAGAAAGCACAACAACAATTCAGAAAACATTATAACAAGTCAGAA